GGGACCATATTTTTGAACTACAATTTTAAGCTGTCGGCTGCTTGTATTTTGTGACTGCTCATATAAATTACTTAGCCATATTTGTATTCTAACTGTAGGATTGAAATTTCTATACAGACAGATTTCAGGGGTTGTTTGTGACTCTAGTGTGATGCTTTCTTCTAGGCAAACCACATAAACATAGGCTGTGAGGGAATACCAAGTAGGCCCCTATCTTAAGTCCTCTTGACAAATTCTGCACCCCTCTTTACTAATGCATCTGTTGGATCCTCCTAGTTTGTATGAACATTGTTACAAGTAAAAAAAAAAAATTAAAGCCTGTGGAAAACATATATAGATTATGCAAATATACAAAATTTTGTAACAATGTTGTTCCTTTCAAATCTTGTCCTTTTGTGTTCCTGACAAATGTTCATAGTATATGTGTTACTGTTCTCAATATTGAGACATGTGTCTTTCATTATTTATTCATCTGCACAGCAATATGACAGACCAGTTTCATTTCGAAAATCAACTTCTAATTATTTAGGGCTGGCTTCTGCAAGCTGTCCCTTGGGGCAAACCTCTGCAACTGCAGAGCACCCTGTTCAATTCAAAATGAGCCTAAACAGGCAAGACATTTTGCAGCATTCCAGCCTTTTTCTCTTCTATTTACTGCTTTGGCCAAAAACTTAATAACACTGAATACTGTCAGACACCACAGGGATTACTGCAGTCACAGGCCATGCTATGTGCTAGTTTTGTTGTCCTGAAAATATTCCCTGTGCAGAAAGGGTTTCCTTTTTTTTTCCCCTACAGAAACAGCTTTGTTGAGGAATGCAACACTAATTGAATCGGCAGCTGCTTGTATTTCCAAGCCAGTGGAGAAAATTCTGTTAGATAAAGTTGAAGTTATAACTGGAGAAGAAGCAGAACACAATGTATTACAGGTGTGTATTCCATAAAGCCTTGATGGTAACCAGATTAGTTACTGAAAAGAGCATCTAGATCTATGACAGATTGTAGCAATCTCAAAATAACTTCAGTTTATATTTTAAATTTTCACTTTTTTAAGGTGTGACTCTGCTAACCCATTTTTATGTAGGCTGATATTTTCTTTCTCATATTATATTTGTACATTTTATAGTCCCTTTTAGTAAGTGACTGCTTCAGAACTTCATTCTACTGTTGTATTTTATAATCATCTACATAGCATACCAGCAGTAACTAACATTTCAGAATTGTGGATTGAGTAAAGATGTTTTTGTGACAAAACATCTTTGGGAAAAAAAGCCATGTGTTGTCTCAGTAATTAGTTTTATAGTGTATCTAAAGTACCAATTGTCTTTCTGGCCCAGCAGGATGTATCTTGAGATTCTTCGTCTTCAAACTGTTATTTTCTCAGAAAATAGCAATGATGTGTATGATTTTAAAAATCTTAAGATCAAAAGGTACATTACTTTATCATTAATTAAATCTTCTGTCTTGTCAGAACATGGAAGTTTTACTCTCTTTGGAGTAGTACTCTCCTAGTAGTGGTGCTGGTATCCTGGGCTGCATAATGCTTCTACTGAGTTAAGGGAATAAGATAGTAGAACACTTGCAATGGATTCAGCTGTTTTAGTGGATTTCACAGATGAAGAGTTAAGGAAGATGAAATAGAATCATAGAATCGTTTAAGTTGGAAAAGACCTTTAAGATCATCAAGCCCAACTGTTAAAATAATTGAAAGAGTGAACTGGGATTCATGCTGAATGTTTTCCATGGCTAGCAGAAAATTTAGCGCGGATCTCGGAGCCATTTAATTTCAAGTAATTAGATATCTATATATCTATCTTTTTAATACATCCATGTGGATATATTAAAAGCTGTATCAAAATGTTTAAAACCACAAGGTTTTAGAAGCAATAAAATTAACATTGGCTGGCAATTTCCATCATGTGTTTCTCTTTCAGATCAACTGCAAGCTCTTTCTATTTAATAAGCTTTCTTCAACCTGGATTGAAAGAGGCAGAGGATCCCTGAGGCTTAATGACACTTCTAGCAATAAATGTGGAATGCTGCAGTCAAGGCTAAGTAAGAATTAAATAACAAAGTAACAAATACACAGAAGACTACATAGCTTGTACTATTGCTGGCCAGAACAAGTTTATTTCAGATTTAAAACTGAGTAGCTAGTTTTATTTAAGTCAACTTTCTGAGACTCTTTTTAACGTTGCCTGATGCTTAGCTGCATTACAGACTGAGGCACTGTGCTTTTTTCACTCAACGGTTGCCTATGGTGTTAGGTTGTGTGTAGTTCTACTGCAGTGTATCTTTAGCTCAGTCACCAGTCTGACAGTTTGCTCTTTGTTGATTCTGCTTTTCCCTGAGCACTGCTTCAAGTCACTTCTAAAATGTTGGTTTTACTGTGCTGTCATTTTTGTACTGTGTTGCACAGTTTCATACTGTATTGCACAGTTTCAGCAGATTATTTGTTTTGTATGGCAGATGTATTGAAAGAAACTAATATAGTTCAGTATTTTAAAAAATAATAATAAAAAAAATCTCACCATGTCAGGTTTTAGACCAAACTTTTTAATTCATGAAAATATTAGTTATATACAAGTGGTAGAGAAAACTGCTGCAGTAAAACTGAAGATGGTTCCAATGGCTTATCATATAAACCTCATTTTAGTTATGCGTAATCAAGGCAGCTTGAGACTGATTCTCAACACCCGACTATGGGATCAAATGGTTATAAAAAGAGCAAACAGAAAGAGCCTGTGCTTCACTGCAACAGACCAAGAGGACCACTCTGTTCAAGTATTTCTAATTCAGGTAAGCAAGAGATAAAAACCCCACCCAAATCCCCATTTCTTCTATGATTCTGAAGTCTTGCCAAGGCTTTGGTTTTAGCAAATGGCCTTGTATGCTCTGTCAGGCTATGCTTAGCTTAGCTGTTACATGGATTTTATTATGAAATGAGCTAGTAGTGCTATCCCTTGATATTTCAATAAAAAAGGTGTGAAGATGGGATATGGCCTTAGGGCAGACATTTCTAGACTCTGTTTCACACACCACTGATGGAATGGATATAATTTCAGAGTCATATGCAGCAATTACTCTTTCTTACGGAAGCAAGAATTTTACACAGGTAGTTACATATTCATAAGTTACTTTGGTACAAGGCAGCAGCTTTCTGCCATGGTTCTTGACACAGTGCTTGTAATAATCCATCCAGTGTAGGACCTCCATTTCTCAGCTGAGAACACAGATTTTGTTATGTTACCTTATGTAAGACAATAGTCTTGGGAATCCTGATTTTCTCTAGCAAGACTGGTAAGTTGAGGATGGAAATGTGGTGGACTGACTTGCAAATAAACAGCACATGTGTCCTGGGTTGGGAAGTGAGAGCATCCATCCGAGTTTAAGGATGTGTCCGGTTTCCCCAGTAGACCTTTCCAGGAAGGGTTCAGCCTCCTGGGCAAGACAACCAAATCACCACTTCCATCCAGGACGTGTCACATGTCATGCACAAGCAAAGTGTTGTGCACTGTATAGGCAAGCACTGTAAGTCTATCACTTCCAAACAGTGATTGACTTAACGATGGCTGTGCTGCACAGATGGTCTGCATGTGAGAATTAGAGATGTCCTAGATTTCCAGATGCGCTGAAGCTTTTCTAGCATATGTACATGTAAGCATTCCTTAAATTCTGTCCTGGCAGTTCTGGACAGTAAAAAAAGACAAGTATTAGGAAACCAAGATATGTGACAGCTGTATGTGTGTGGCAAGGGCTGCAGGCAGCTGCTTCTACAGTCATCACTGAAGCAGCAGGTATCCGTCCCTATAGCTGGGGTCCAGTCAAACTAACACTGAGACTTCTGAGTGTGGAAGGCAAATTGCTCAATGTGTGGGACACCCAGCAGGCATCACCAAGGCCTTGGCAGGCCTAGTAGTCAGTGGAGCCCAGACCACCAAGGCACCAATAAATACATTTAACTGCCATTTAAATCAGTTTTTCCCATGTCACATGAATGATCGATACATTTGGTTCAGGGATATTGTCCAAAGGGCTTCTCATGAGTGAGGGAGAAGAGTCGTATGATGCTGACCACAAAGGAGGCAGGACACAAGACTCCATTAGGTCAGTCCTTTAGTACTCACCCAGTTTGCATAGAGGGCTGACCCTGCCCCTCCCCTCATACTTGTGTCTTCCTCCTCACTTTTGGTGGCATTGGAATTTGTAGATCAGACAACTGATCTGGGTGGTTTTATTTGTTTTTGCTAAGTTAGTTTTTTAGCTTAATTTTATTCACCTGAGATCGCCCTAATGGTGGTACTGACACAATGGAAAGGGTAGAAATGAATAGTCAGAGGATGTATGGAGGTGAGTCCACCCCTCTTGGCAGAAGCTGGAGTTCACATTAAAGTGACAGAGGAACTCTGGCTTTTGAATGGTTAAGTAGAAAGCTACAGAGAGAAATGATCAGACTGAATAGCTGCCATTTTCATTTTTACGACCCTGCATTTCCTGAAAAGCCATGTTATCTTGAGAGCTCCAATTTGTCCACAGAGAATTGCATTTGTAGTTGAGACACCTGAACAACTCTGAATTACTTTTGCCTCTGCCTGGCTGTAGGGAGAGAATGGTTTGCTGCTGCAAGTCTGGGCAGGACAGAAGGCAACCCTGATCTGCTGCTGCTTCCCAATTCACATAGCTTTTCCACCTGTACACGCTGAAGGGTGTCATTCCAATCCAAGCAAGACATATTTCTTCCTATTGCTAAGTGATACAGTTAGAAATTATTCCACATGATGCACAGAAGTGGAGAATTGGGCTACAGAAGAACACAGGCATTCAGTTACCCTCTGATAGATTATTTGCTTCATAACAGTACATGAAGTACGCTACTGGCACTTCTGACGGTGCGCAGATGCAGTGCTTTGAGGAAGTGCAAGCGAGCACGGCCACTTTATATGGTCTGTTCACCCCATCGGCCCCCAGTGTCCATGTGTTATATTAGGCATGTGAGAGCATGCACCCCTACTTGTTTCCTTTGCTATCTATTTTGTGAAATGACTGTCTCTGAATTTTTCTAATTCCTTTTTTAAACTTTTACTGTATTTTTGGCCTGTTGTTTTTAGTTTTTACTGTCTTACCCTACTCTCTCCTGAGGCAACAAATTCTAGAAGTTCTTACTCACTCTGTGAGGAACCACTGTCTTCTACACTGATCCTCTACTGCTTTCATTAAGCATACGCTAGTGTATTTATTGTGTGGTGTGATGAACAGCTGTACCATATTCAGTTTACCCACCACTTTTATAATTTTGACAACCTTAGTTATACCCCCTTCTCCTCCTTCTCTTCAGACCGAAGAGTCTCAACTCTTCATAAGGAGCTGCACCACACCCTTGATCATTTTTGGTGCCCTTCTCTTTACCTTCTTTAATTCTCCTATACCCATGAGATGTGATGACCAGAATGGAACACAGCACTCAGGACATGGCTGCTTGAAGGTTTTATATACTGGCAAAATTCTGCCTTGTCTAGTTCTCAATACCCTTCTTGATGATGCTCATTTTCTGTTCAACAATAGCAGCAGAATTCATGGTATCTTTAAATTTTATAATCACAAATAATTTTTTGTAGTTAGGTTTTAAAATTATTTTTTATTCTGTAAACCAAAATGCAATACATATATTAACATTTCAGTGCTTTTTTACTTCTAGAATCATGTTCAGGAATTGTCTGGAATATCAAATACTCAGTACAAACTGAGACATTCTTCAGGGGAAATAATTTTTAAGCTTATGTTTCTTGTAACTATAGAGAAAATAATCAACAGCTGCATATTATAAATCTCAGACCACTTAAAGAAACTTGACATTATTTGTATTTAAATTTATTTCCTGAAATGAGTTATTAAGTGTTAATCTTAAATGGATTGTTTTGATTAAACAGGACAAAATACAGCTCTTCCATTACTTTTGAAAAATTCTCAGTCAGCTTCTCTGTGAAAAATGGAGATTTTTCTTGCTTAGTTTGGACTGTATGCATTTTATGTTCTGCAGGCTAGCTCAAAAGACACTGGATACCTGTATGCAGCAATACATCACCGCCTTGTGGCATTGCGAAGCTTTGCTGAGCAAGAGCCAGATGCTCATCAAGTAGACACAGAGTCAGAAATAGCTTTTCAGCCATTAAACTGTGATAGTGATGATGAAGATGATGAAAAAATAACTCAAGTGAGCAGCAGTGGATCTGGTAAGCAGAAATTTTCATGGGAGTGCTGTAATCCTTTCACGGTATTTTCTTGTAAGCAATGAGTATTTTACTTTTTTTTTCTTGCTGCCTATAACATTCATATGTTACAGATACCCCTTTTCCAGTAGAAGAGGGTAATTCCTTTTAGTATTTTGACTTACTACTGTTATAATGCAAGGTTTTGCCAGATAAAGTATCTACATGTCTTTATAGCAGCAGATTACTCTTTTGACAAAAGGCTGAGGGTTGAGAAATTTTAATATCACGAAGTTTTGCCAGAAGGTTTCTTCAGTATGTTTGAGTAGAAATGACTAGGGTTACTGAGGTACTAGTAACTACTTCAGTAGGTGAAAGTTGAGTCCATTCACATCAGCGCTTAGGTAGTTGCTAATGGCTTCAAGCATAATGTGTTTACTAAGGTATTTATTACGCAGTGGTTAACTTCATTTAAAACACTGATTCTTGATCAGCTGTAACAACTACCTCCCTGGGAAATTTGCAGGTCGAGATGTACACACCAGTTTTGCCAGCTTGCATAACATAATAAAAATGTAGGCACCTCAAAGTGAAGCCTGCGACTAAAGATACAACAGGCAAGCTGCTGACTTAATCCTACTCCAGAAGCTGTTAATAGAGCTCGCAGCAAGGCTGGGGTCACATTTGCAGAAAGCAAGGCAGAAACAGCTTTTAAGCTCTTCCATCTTAGCAAAAGACAAGTCACATTTCTGGGGCGAATTCACTTGCTTGTGCCAAACTGCTACAGTGGATACAAGAGCTGCCAGTTACGTTTGTTTGCCTAAAAGAAGGACTACAGCAGACAGGTTTGAGTTGTGGCTCATAGCATTAGTTTCCCTCTTCAGCTGAGTAACATACTGCCCTTGTGTTATAAACTCTTCCTTTAACAACTATTCAACAAGGATCAAGTCATGTGTGAGTAAGAGCTCCTAGTAAGAGCTAGTAATACTGCTTAAGGAAATGAGTTTTTTTCCCCCTTTAGGCAAGTAGATTGCAGTTTACAGTGCTTGTTCCCATTATTATTTGTTGTTTAGCTACATTTCAGTCGCATTCAGTGCTCTAAACAACGCATGATGCTCTTATAGAACATTTTTTCACAAATACCTTTTTTCTGTTTAGGAAATGGGAAAATTGTTAGCTCTCAGAACTCCCTAAATTGCTCCCAGATAATTGAAGATTCCCTCTGTAATTCCTAAATAGTCTCTACTGACTTTAGAAGGAATTTCTGGTAACTTGAGAACTCTGGAAGGAGCTTGGTTCTTTCCACAATTATTGATGATAAGAATTCTTTGTTCTTTTAGGGGGAAAATAAAAGAGGGGAAAGGGAATGCCAAAGCAGTATAGGAGCACAGATTTACAAGTTAAATATTTATTTTGATTTGCAGAGACTTCTGATACAAATACTCAGATGGCAGCCAGCAAACAGATTCTGAGATACGAGTGTCAGGTGCTGTTTTTTTCTTGACCTTTTAGTTTAAGCATCTGTCTTTCGTTTCTGTGGGGTTACTGACAGCAGTTCTAACAACCCCTTTCAAGTGCTTTTTTGCTTTTTCAATGACTTCTAGCATTCCCTGCTTATCTTAAGCTCTTCTATTATTCTCAGAGCCACAAGGTTTTAGTTTTGCAAGTCCCACTTTACATGCAGACATTCACATCTTACACATGCCTGTCCCTGGCACTCCCGTTTCCAGAACAGGAAGGAAAAGATACCTCCTGGGTTTTGAACAGGGTGAGGTCAGTTAAATATCAGCATAGAAGCATCCATTTGGATGCAACAGATCAGACCCTGTATATTTAAGAGCATTTGTTTAAAGCTTTCATTTTCATGCTTTCATTTGCATTGAAGGATGTGCATGAATAAGTCATCTTATTTTTACTGATGTAACTCAGTTTCAGAGATGACCTCTCCTTAAGACTGCTGTAAATGTTAAGAAGCGTAAGTTCGCAGTGACTGTTTCATTACAAGAAATACAATTAGAAAGTATGCCTGCATTTTATTTGATCCCATTCTACCTGTTTGTCTCAAAAAAAGAGATAGTTCTTTCTTTCCTTAATATAGGCAATTTCCTTCTTGTTAAACTGAACTAACACATTCCCTAGATTATGCTATTTCATGACACAGTAAAAGACATGAAAAAATAGATGAGAATTATCTTTAGTTCTAGAGACTGAAGAAGAAAGCAAATATGATATAAGTAATAAGTGAAGCATTATGAACATCAAAGTGATTCTATGTGTTTGCAAGACATTTTTGCAAGAATTTTTTACACAGAATTCTTCCCTATAACATCCACAGGATGTTAATGCTGTATAAGGACAGTGTATAAGGTAGTAGAGATATTTCTACCATTTTACAAATTCAGTATAGACATTTATTCCATTTTTTAAATTTTTAATTGAAATGCTTTACTTTCAAGTAGAGATATTAATTTAATAAAGTCCATGAAGAATAAGTTGCCACACTTGATATTTCTATCATATTTCACCAGTTACAGCTTGGATACTTCTACCAACAAATTGCTCTGTAAATCTAAGTGGAGAGAAAGAGAACAATTAATCTTTAAACAGATTTTGAGAGTGGCCAGGATCAATAACTCTGTAGCAAGTATTTATCTTTTCCCACTTTTAGAAAGTGAACTGAGGAGTTGAATTTAGACTAGACAGCAAACTTCTAGGCTGTCTAGTAAAGCAAATCTCTTCTTCCATTTCTTTAATTGCTAATTCAATGCTCTGCTAAGTATTGTAACTATGTTTGCCTCCAGTTGTCTTTGTGAGATCTAGCTGAGGGAAGGTCAGCAGAATTCTTTATTACGCATACGAAAATTTTTCTCACTAAATAATTTAACAAATAAAACAATGGAAAATGCTGATATGGCAATGTGTGAATGATTGGACCAAGAGTGCTCCCTTCTGAGGGCAATGCCGCTGGCCTCAGACAGCTGCACCACTCTTCCCTTTCATTTTTCCTCTCCTTGGACTTGTAAACCTTACATTGTTTGCTGTGTGGTAGCTCTGCTTCAGCAAGCAGAACAGGTAATTCCCCTTAGCCAGGCATATAGACTCGCCTAGTAAGGGCACATGGCCTCCCAGTAGGCAGCGAGCTGTACCTGACTGCTGCAGATAAAGAGGATGGAGCACCCTATAGGCCTGTGTCTGGGACGCGTTCTCCAACAAGTAACACGACGTTGAACTGTTGCCACTGCCTCCTCCTGCTTTGCTCATAGGTCTCAACCATCGATTTGGGGCTTTCCTGTAGGTTGGCAGACCAGTGTCAGGTGTCTGTGCAAAGTCTGACTCATTTTTTAAGCACCTTGACTGCAGGCAGTTACAAATTCACCATGTGGGAGTACTGACTTGCACTGCCAACATGCATAAATTCCATATGTACTTATTGGATAGACCGTTCTCTAAAGTAGACACGGCAACTCTTGCAGGGTGCCCATCTCTTTCCACTGGCGGCACAAACAAACAAGGTACCTATGTCAGGCTCAAAAAATGATCCTGCCAGAACATGGATCTGGTAGAGTGCCAACACCTAAGCTTGCCATTGGTAGCAGGTGATCTTGAAGTCCCTACTTAGACCTGAAAGTGACTAAGATGTCTCCAAAAATGTTACTCCTTGCTTCTGACATGTCCAAGAGATTGTTCCACATTTTCTTGATAGCCATAAGGAGATTCTGTTCTTGCTCCAAAAGAATGCATTTTGCTTACATTTAGAAACAGGTGCTGTTTCCATCATGGTCATCAGAAATAGCAGAAGGTCTTTAAAGTGTTGTAACGCTGTTACTATTTAGAAAGAACTGTTATTCCTTAGGGGCATGAGTAATTTCTTTCACAGGGAAGTATGAAAAGTCAGTCATAGTAGTAGGATAGTATGGGGCTATAGGTAGAATGGTTCCTATGATTTCCACCCTTTTTGCTTTTCTGATTTTGCAGGAATTTGTTTATTTTTATCCCTGAGGGGGAACAGTAAAGTTGGAAAAGTACACGTGAGGGACAAGGATGACAGTGTCGCTAGGCAAAGAAATGTTTTATGCATTATTTCTTATACTGCACCTCACCAGTAACTCTCTTAAATCTCCTAACTTTATCCTGATTGAGAGATCCTCTCTTTCGATTGAGATGTCCTCTCTTTCCTGGCACGGAATTTTCTTTTAGAAGCCACTAGGGTGAATTCAAAGATGCTGGAGTCCAGGACTGGGTAAGTCCCAAGAAGCCTCTCCATAGGTAGACAAAGACCTTAAGAGAAGACTATAGTGTGCGAAGACACAGTGTGTCCCATATGGGTCCACCAAGAACTGCACAGATTTTGATGACTACTGGTGGTGAGAGCCAGACAGCGTCCTACCACAGAATTGCAACCTTTGTTTTATTTGAGAGACATCTTCTAGTCCACTATACAAGTATGTCCCATGTTGACCTCATTAGGACTCTGTCATCTGCTGCTGTTTATCAAAATTTAAAATGTTACAAGAGCTTTTTTGTTTTGAAGTAAAATACTTTTAAAGTTCTTAAAGGAACTACTGTTCAGCAACATTGTAGGAACTCCTGGAAAACTGGTATCTTTGATATTTCTTGTCAATTGAATTTAAATTCTTACCAATTGTTAAGGTTTCCAAATCATAAATCTAAGACATACCCAATAGTGATTAAAACTGAGGAAAAGTTAAGAATTAACTTCTTTGTTGGAATCCAAGTTTCTGTAGTCTTTTCAGCAGATACTAGTAACATCTAAAGCAGAGAAGAAAAGACAGCTCTCTGGTTGGCTTTAGATGCTGACATATCAGGAAAGGGGGGGGGGGGAGAGAAAATCAGATTTAATGTTCTGACAAACGCAAGGCCTTTCATTTCACCTGTATTTAGCGGTGGCCAGATGGTAGCAGCGATTTTTAAGCAGATACTGAGATAGTGATACTAATGTGTCTGGCATTAGTCAGCTATACCTGCTTTCTGCAGATGAGTCAAAATCATAGAGATCACGCACCCAAAACATCCCTGGGTACTTTATCGTGACCAGTGAGTTATTTGAAGATATATTGAATTTCTCACAGTTTACTGAGCATACTTAATATGAAGTATTAAGACAGTGTTCCCTATATGGAGTGAGATGATTTGCATCCCAAGCACATTGTCCTACCTAGACATCAGAATCCTTAGTCCTATGTGCTTGTCTTTATTGACCTGGGGGGTCACGGGCTTCATTCACTATTCACATGCTCAAATATTTGTGAATAATCCCATGTTATCTAGTTAGATGTTTACCTAAACCAGGAACTGATCATATCCAAACTTTAACCTACTGCTTTGGTATTATGAAATGCCAGGTTGTTTCAAAATGTGAATACACTGAAATAAGCAAGATTTAAAAAAATTCTTTTTCAGATCATTCTAGATGGAACCGCAGGCACTATGTAGCCTGCTCATGACACCTACCAGAGGTTACAACAGCATGGCTGGGAACTCATCTTCCCAAAATGTCTAAGCTGACTCACCTCTCCCTGGAGGGAGGAAATAATTTCACTTTATGACTTTTAAGCAAAGATTAATTTTAGGGACAGTTTAACACATTGAGAAAGAACTTAAGATGCACTTTTGAGGATTCCAGTCAGCCTGCTTTGCACTGAGACGGGAATGACACAATGGCTTCCAATATTCAAGAAGCGTTACAAAGGTTTCAGATTTTAGAATGAAATGTATTTAGATGCATTATTAAAGTATAGAGGAATTTTATAAGGAATAAATGGTTTTTCATCATATTGATGGATAAAACTGCATAACCATGAACTAATAATATATGTGAAGAGATATTTGTTACTTTTCATCTGTTATTTAAAAGATACTTTTGGAAAGATTTAAATGGCGCTTCACTGAAAACATTTCTTTAAAATTGTGTGGTAACATTCAGCATCCTGTTTGTAAGCAGACACAAGCAGAACTGGGAGTGGCAGTTTAGCATGACCGAGGCCTATAGAAACCAGCCTTCATAAGGAGGTGGGGGTTTTGTTTGTTTTGAAAATACCTGGAGTTGTATACTGGTTGTAGAATTTTGTTCAAGGGCAAAGAACCATGATTGGCCTTTCCAGCTGTAAGCACCAGGAGAACTCACCACCAAGAATGGCAAGCCAGTTCTAGGGGGCATATGAGCTTTAAGATCTAAAAGTGTGTCTGCTTGCACTTGTGAACACCTTTTCAGTTGCACAAAACAAGCATTTGTAGTGTTAATTGTCCATTTGATATATGCAAATAAATGCATGCACAACATAACTGCTATCTGCATAAAAATTTTTCTTAAATGTGTAAGATTACCTGAGATTACTTCTGCCTTAGCTGTAGCTATCCCTGAACAGCATAATTCCTTGAAATAGATGACTGTTACACATCCCAATGTGTGCAGTAATCCCAACAGTCCCAAAGACCCACTCACTCTGTAAAAGTGATCCCACAGCCTACTGCCTTCTGCCTATCCATTTCCGTGAGGAATTAGAAAAACCAATTCTCTCTAATGCCACCTGTGAATTAAGGCTTACCAGATCATTCATAAGCCATGCACAGCACAAACACCATTTATGGTCTGTGTTTTCTATTCATTCTGTGAAAAGATAGAGAAAATATGCCTGCAATCATTCTGCTGCAACTCTGTGCTGCCTTGTACATTGCTGGTTACCAAATACTATTTCTTTATCATCCTCAGAGCTGAAACAATATTCAGAAATATCTGAAGTCCTTTTAATTAAGGTAATTGTAAGGATTTCTCAGCCTTAAAAGATTTCTCAGCCTTCTCACAACTTAAGAGTCAAATTACAATTTAGTTTTCCCGTCTGAATGTATGTATGAAGTTGGAAGAATAGCAGCATCTTCCTGAATTCCCAGTACCCTGTCAAGATTACCATCCAGATGGAGCTGAACTAGCATCTGGATTACACTGAGTCCTAAACAGCCTGCCAAAATTAGCACTTGTCTGACATTGATGTAGCATCTGGATGACAGTAAGCTCAAGTGGGGCTGGATTTTTGCCGTCAGGAAAAAGAGAGAGCTTCACAACAGAGCACCTGTGTCAAATAGTGAAGCACTGGGATTCTCTTTGACTCTTCATTCTGCCGAAAACAAAAATGTTCTTTCCGTAACCTGCTGTACATTGTGTCCTTTTCTATCAGCCTCAGTCCTGACCACAACAATATTTGCATCACTGACCTTCATATTTCATTGCTGCAACTCATACTTGGGAACAAAGCTCCACGTTATAACAACTTCAGCAGTTGTAAAACACAGCAGCCCTATGTATTTAGCAACAGGTCACGGTGATGACTTTGCCCTGGAGTTCAGCTGGCTATGCACTGAATGCAGAGTTTGATTTCAAAGTCTGTCCTGATAATCAAAGCCTCTGTGAAATAGGATTTAAGCACCTGAGCCTCATGATACCCCTCTAAATTCTACTACAGCTGTAAAAATGCTTGGCAGATGAAGGAGCGCTCCAGAGCAGGCACACCAGAACTTTTGCAGGCACAGGACTTAAACTGTGTCACCTGCTCCCACAGCATGAGGAACAAGGCTTATGATCATTGACAAGCTCTCTTTTGATCTGCCTTTTCCCAAGATCATTGCATATATACACAAGTATACACACAAATACACACGCTCATGCGCACACACTCTTAAACATGAAGCAGTCTCCCAAAAGCCGAGGAGGAAAAGAGATGTTTAACCATTTTGAAGGGTTTGGATACTGTGGTAACAGTGGACATACAAATACGTGTATGTGCAGACATATTTGTGGTATAAATTCTTACTCTTGAGATCATAATACTTTATTTATTCTGTTTAGTCTCGTTGCACTAAAATTCATTGTTTCTCAAGACTGAATGTATGCTAATATGTAATATATTAACTTGGTTTTAAAATGTAAAGTTTCTTATTTTATGACAGCCAGAGCAACAGTTTCTATGCGTGAACAATAAACAATTTTCTTACAGCTTTAATTTCCATCTAACTAGTTGTCTTATTTTGAGTCCCAGTCAGAGCTTCCTACAGACAGTTCCTTCCACGCTTCAGAACTTCAAGCCTGCTTTCCTAAGGAAACCAGATTTAAACAGTTGTGTACTCTGTCCACCTGATCTGTCAGGCACACTTCGAGCCCTCTGTTCAGTTTCAGAAAAATTGGACGGGAGGTAGAAAGCTCAAAGACAATCTAAGTTCTTCATGAGAATAAAACTGGCAGTTGTTGAGTGACAGAACTCAGAGGAAGGCATCCTTTGAGGAAGCAGTTTCAGGGTAAGCTTGGTATTTTCTGTGAGGCTTGTGGGGTTGAGCAACATGTTCCAAACCGCAGCATTTGCTGGGAAGGAGGGGAAAGGAAAACTGTGGAAGGGTGGATACCTGGCATTACTGGGGCCTGAAGAGGGGTATAGGGACATGACCCAAATCCCTATGAAACTAGACATCGCCGATTTTGTTGTTCGTGGAGCAACCTGTTCTATGTTTTTTTCAGATGAAGTTTATTTATTTATTTATTTATAGCAAATCCCAGTGATTATTTTATATACATAAGGAATGCCAAGCTGGAAGCAGTACCAATTTTCAAAGGGAGAGAAAACTAACAATTCCTAATACAAGCATACATATGCAGATACCTGCTGCTAAGATTACGAGTTTCTGGCAAAATCTGCTTGGACGGGATAGCCCAAATGGCTTATTTTATGTTCTGGAAGTGTTTGTATCTCCTCCTAGATCTTGTCACTCAGGTTTTTATGTCATGATCTTTAGTGACCTCTGAATTATTTCTGGCAAACTGTAGGAAGTTGAGAGTTTGGTAATGTCTCTCTTGAATAAATGAATGAATACAGGGAAAACCTTTAGCACATTTGATTAACACTGCTTTCAGTGCTACTGGCAGCCTGTACAACACAGGACAGGGAAGGAAAGAGCATCCTCTTTTTTCCCAGCTGGGTTTTAGAGGACCTACCACTGGGGCAGGCTGGCAGGAAAATCTAGAAAAAACTTGTTCTACAGCAGTTGTCTGCCTAAAAAGTGGAGCTCAGATTCCTGACTCGTCTTTCACAAACACTCAAGTTATTCTTACAAAACAATGTGCCTGCAGCTGCTTGAGCATATTCAAATTGCTTCTGCAATGCTCAAGTCAGCTGTGGTAGTCCACTTAAGGGATGATGTAGTTTGCTTTGCATAAACAAAGACTGGGAGGAAAAGTAAATTTCTGCTAATGAAAACACATTCTAATGAAAGTGTGGACAAGAAAGCCTGCCCCTTCTCATTAGTTTTGTTTCAGTAATTTGCATTCATAAGAATAATGGCAATTGTTTTGCTTTTTCTGAAGCATCCTCCTCTATTTTGGAATTTATGAAGCTAATTATATAACGCGTGTCACCGCTGATGAGGGCACATACGTTGCTATCACAACGCAAGCACACATGGGTAGAATCTGGGGTCAGAAATTAAATCAGACTATACCTGCTAATGTGTTCATCTGCCTGCCGTGTAAGATTGTGACGTGTCACACGAGTGACGTGTTCTCTAAGCATTAGTCTGGAGTTTTCCTCTGGATAATCAGAATTAACAGCTGTGGTCGGCTGGGCTCACAACCTGAGGACTCGGTTTTGTGAAACGTTACCATGCTGGTCTGTTTACCTCCTCCTCTGCGACTGCAGCTAACACTGGCAGCGTTGCCATTTTCAACACAAAGACAGCACTGGCATTTTCAGGTATCAGTGGTACTTAGGGGCATACAAAGAAAGTCTAGAGAATGTAAGTGATTGGATTAGTTAGTTATATAACTGGTTATTAATTAAATGATCACAGGAAGGCATTACCCGCAGACTTCAGCAAGGAGTGGAGATGAACAGTTGTCCTAGATTGTAACTGCACTAGAAGCAGTATGTACATTTTTCTGGGTGAAAAAAGGCTACATTTGGGACCTTCTCCTGTCAAACTGCTGGCATAGTTGTGCATTGCCAGTTTTGCAGCTAGTGTAACAACTTAGGAATAATTCGGTGTTTACATAGAAATTTTTCCAGTTACATTGTTCTGTAACACAGAATAATTATTTTATTACATAATTTATACATCTACATTTTTTAAAGTCCAGTATATAACTTGAAGAACATAAGAGCTAAGGATGCCTGGTTTTCTATGGATTTGTGTCTTGAAATTTACCTCATGTATTATAACTCCTTGGTGTCTAAAATGGGCATTACTCTGAAGCATTTTCTTTGCTGCAGGCAGTATTGAGGTGTCCATTTCTGTAAGGGATTTTTAAGTACTCTATGCCCAAAACAAAGTTGGTTGTGGTCAGCCAAGGGTTTAAAAAGTTATTCCAGTGGGAGTTCATCCCTGCTCCATACGCGTATCCGATAAGAATACCAGGCTAAAATGCCTATGCTTATTAATTTAATTCTGTATGAACAAACCTGTCTCC